AATAATGACCATATCATGGAAGCCATAGACGCTTTGAGTATGCAGGTTGCGAAGATAAAAACTGCATAAGGACGAAGCAGAACGAGATATCAAACTTCAGATCGCAAGCGACGTCGTTCGCTCCATACTGATTCGAAAGTAAGACGTTATCCTATGTGTTACTATCAATATCGTTTTGGTGCGGAAGTTAAAAAATGTTCCTTGCCGTGTAGTTTCAATCAACAGGGAAACAAGTAGGACTTCATCGGTGGCGGTCTTTTCCATTTCAGAAAAACGACCACAAAATTCAAGGAATGCTTCTTAAAAACGCATTAAAGATGGGTTGACAATTACTGCAAGCAGACAAAATTTTTTCAAAAAAATCACAAATGAAATTTACATATCAATACTAATAATATATTTATTTATTTATTTATTTATTTAAATGCATTAAGGGACAACCCTTTTTATTGCAGTATCTTAAAGCTAATTTAAAGAATTAAAATAAAAATAAAAAATACAATAAAATAAAATAAAAAAAGTAATTAAAGTTTTCAGAGAATATAGTAATAACATATGTAAAAAGTATTAAAATTATAGTTACTGATTAACAGCGAAACAAAAAAGAAAACAGCATGAAATATTTAAATAACAGAATTTAAGTTAATAACAAACAAATTACAATAAACTTAAAAAAAAAAAAAATAAATAAAGACAAATAAACGTGACGTTAACACAGTTCGTTTTTTAACAGTTTCTTAAAAACACTCGGGTTAACTGCATTTCTGGTTGTGCTTGAAAGAGCATTCCATATTCTAACAGACTGAATAAAAAAAACTTAGTAGTGGAGGCAAAACTAAATCTGGGAATGATGAAAAGACAAGATCTGTTAGATCTAGTTAGCTGCAAGCAATCAAAAAGATACTTCGGCGTAGTAGTGGATAAAAGTCTGAACAAAAATAAGCATACTCGAAACTGCATATATTGTTCAATATCACACCCTAGAATCACATTTCTATAAATACCTAAATAATCAAAGCGTCTAAGACCAAAAGCATATCGCGTGCAGCAGTTTACTAAGCATCGTAACTTATTGAGGGATTCAACATCAAGTTTTGAGTACACTAAAGAGGAGTACATAACAATAGGAATAATTAGTTGTTTTACCAACAAAACACGCATGTCAACCGGTGTATACTTCACAGAAAGGTTCAGACCTCTTAAACATGCAAAAGATTGTCTAATAACTTGGTTAACATGTTCGCCAGCATGCAGATTAGTGTTCAAATGAAAACCCAGACATTTTACCGAATTAGTATATTTAATAATTGAGTTGCCAAGTGTTACAGAAGGCAAGAAATCAACATTAATATTTAGCCTAGCAATTGGTAGAATTGAAGACTTGTTTATATTAAGGAACACATTATTTTGCTTAGCCCATACCACTATATATGATAAATCTACAGTAGTCATTTGCACGAGGTCATTAATATCAGAAATCCGACAAGATAGATACATTAGAATATCATCTGCATACGCATGAAATTTAGCATACTTACATATTGAAAAAATATCATCAATATAAATTGAAAATAAAAGAGGTCCTAGTACAGAGCCTTGAGGTACCCCAGTAAATAAAGGTTTGAAATTAGAAAAAGCATTCTCTACGAGTACAGCCTGTTCCCTTCCAGTTAAGTAGCTATAAATAAATTCTGAGGCCGACCTAGAAAAATAAAAGGAATGAAAAAGCTTTTTACATAATAGAGAATGGTCAACACAGTCAAAAGCTTTAGTAAAGTCAAGGAGACATAAAAATGTTACTAAGTTTTGATCATAGCTACATCGAATATCTTCGAGGACCTTAAGCATTGCCGTCGTGCAACTATGACCTTTTTCAAACCCAGACTGGAGAGGAGAGAGAAGTTTAAAGCAGTTAAGATGAGTACGTATTTGATCAGCCATAATGTTCTCACACACTTTAGAGAGTGAAGGGAGAATACTGATTGGGCGATAATCGGAACATGAGGATGCATTAGCCTTTTTTTCAATTGGAATAATCTTGGCTTTTTTCCAAACAGTAGGAAAACATGATGTAGTGAAACAGTGGTTAATAATGTGCGTCAAAGGAGTAATAATAAACGACAGTATAAGTTTAATAAATTTATGCAGAATTTCATCTATTCCAATAGCGTTTGACTTAATTTTCATGACATTATTAAAGACAGTTTCTTCACTAACACATATAAAGTCAAAACTGCGTTCGGAGGGAACACTCTCAAGTTCAGGGAAGACCGGAGCAACGTTCAATCTATCTCCTATAGGAACAAAGAAATCATTTAAAATGTTAGGATCAATGCTACATACATTTCTTGAGCTATTAACTACCCCTAGAGCTTTGATGTTGCTCCAAAGTGATTTTGTAGGTTATGAGGTATCTAGTTTCGATTTAATGAACCTAGATTTAGCAAGATAAATAGCCATTCGAGTCAAATTTCGAGCTGCTTTAAACCGCGTCCAGTTAAAAACATTCGGATATCTTTTCCACACTGCATACTTCCTATTTCTCTTGTTTATCATACGTTTGATGTCAGTACTGAACCATGGACATGAAGAATTCTTAACATGTATAGTACGATACGGAATATACTGATGCAAATAATTAATAATTATATTGTTTAAGACTGTCAATTTGTCATCAACTGAAGCACCAAACCAGCAATTACTTCAGTCAACAGTGCTAAGATCACTACATAATAACTGAGTATCAGCTGATTTAAAATCCCAGAAAGAAAATTGAGAGGGATTGACATTTCTCGTTACACAGTAATCTAAGGTAGTAAATAATAAATCATGATCGGAAACAAACGAAATCTGATCAAATAACAACACTTTGGTCAGATCAGACAAGATCATTAAGTCGAGGAGACTTGGGCGTACATTATTACTATATCTAGTAGGCACGGTATTATTTACAATGCTTAGACCAACCAAAGCTATAAGGTCATTCAGTGCAGACACTTTAGCATTGCTCAAAAGAATATCAATATTAAAATCGCCAAATATGGCAATAAAATCAAAATTGACAGCAATAGGAAGGAGGGCTTCAAAAAGAGGACCACTACAGTACCTTTTGCTGGGGTTATAAGCACAAGAAACAAGAATTTTATGACTACCTAAATAAATACATACACATATAAATTCAATTTCACTTTCTTCCGATATACAGATCAATTGACTTCTTAAATATGATTTACAATAAATAGCAACGCCGCCACCCAATTTATGTTTCCTATCATGTCTAAATAAAACAAAGTCGTTTATAGATAGGTATGAACTATCAAGATGGAAGTCAAACCAAGTCTCAGAAATGCAGATAACATCTACTTTGCTGTCTTCGAAAACAGCTCTTACATGATCTAATTTTAAGCCAGAAAGACTTCTAGCATTAAAATGAACTATATTAATACCACGTTGTTGTTTACAAAAAATATTAATTAAAGTTTTATCTTCCATGATTAATAATTAGTATTTTCTGCTTCTAGTTTAACTCTCCGCTGTAACGTCTTACACATAATATCTCTGCAATCATGATCCGTACTCAGCTCACGAAGGTTAAGAGTTTTTTTTTGCCTTAACACAATTAACACATTTAATAAAAACATTTTTGCACTCCTTATGAGTATGCCCAGTCTCACTACATTTAGCACATACATTGTCAATTTCTTTGCATACACTTGCTTTATGATTAAAGCCCCAGCATTTATAACATCTCATAACATTTAAATGCTCATAAACGATGCACCTATCCCACCTGATATTAATTCTACGATCTTTCATAACTTGTTTGAAAGCTTTACCGTCTAATTCAATTATGGCGTTAAATGTATTCTGTTTTTTATAAGATTCGTATACTTTTAAAACTTTTAGGTGTTGGAGCGAGATACTATTTTGATTTTTTATTGCGAGAAGTAAACTGTCGCCATCTAACTGTTCAGTCATTCCTGAGATAAGCACTTTGGGATTACGCAATGTAGGAGTTTCAATGACGTATTGATCACTTAGTTTTTTCTTAATATCATTAGCAAGGACTTCACGTTCTTTAGAGTTAATACACTTAATAGTTACTCTGCCATCATGCCTAGTCTGAAATCCGTTCACTTTAACATTTAGCTGAGTTGGGTTAATTTTATTCTTTAAGTCTTTTTTTGTCTCTTCCCTCTGTTGTTTATTAATGGGTTTCACAGTAATTGGTACATTAGCATTGATACCCATTTTTAGCTTAGCAGCAAAAGTATCTTCATTTTCAATCATGTTTATATTCTTAGATGTATTCATAGCTAGTTCATCATTCTGTTTTTTAATAACATCAGATAACAATGTAATTTTTTGCTCAAGCCCATTAAATTTGTTTACATATGATTTTTGGACCTCAACAAGTGATTTAATCCTATCAGCATATTTTGCCTCTATAGCTTTTAATAAACATTTAATTTCATTTTCGTTAACGTTTAAGGCTTTTTTAAATTCATTTTTATATTCATTAAGACAATTATTGTTTTTGGTCACACTATCATTAATTTCTCTAAGAGAAAAGTCAACATTGTGTATATATTGTAAGCAATCATCACAAATAAAATGAATCATTTTATTATTAAGGCTATTAATATGTGATTGCTCCACACCAGAACATTTAGTTGCAATGTGATATGCTTTACCACATACACCTTCACAAACTAAACCAGACTCTCCACGTATAGTAGAACGGCACTTATTGCACTCTTTCATTATAAATCAAAAAGTATTTATTATTCTTAATCAAATATAATATTACTTATTATTATAGTTATTTATAAATTTTGGAAACGTTTATCAACACTAGTTCGCGCGCTTTTTAGTTCGCGCCTTATAGTAATTAT